TCAATTAGTATAATACATGTATTGACCTCTAATTTGAGTTGCATTGTGATATATACATGTATTGACCTATGAGTTGAATTTTGATATATACATATGCTGGCCTCTTAATTTTGATGATTGAGTTGCATTCATCCAGTTTTGATAATTGAGTTGCATTGTGATATATACATGTATTGACATCTTAATTCTTGAATTGGTATTTACATGTATTGATCTTCTAATTTTCGTAATTCAGTTGCATAGTGATATATACACATATTTCTAAATTTAATAATTCTTCTATTGGTATATACATTTATCGACCTTCAAATTTTGATAATTGAGTTGCATAATGATATATACATGTATTGTCCTTCTAAGTTTAATAATTCTTCAATTGGATGACATAAAGTTTGATGAAGAGAGTGAAAAGGTGAATGATGAGTTTACAGATGAAGAGAAGAGAAATAAATCAATGTCGAAAGAATATTCAAAAACTTAATTTGATAATGATACGTACTCAAATAAGTCTACACAATCTATTGTTGCAAAGAGAGTAGAGGGAGCTTAGAAGAAGATACACTAGAACAATGGCAGAACGATGAGACGAGGGACAGTAGAACAATGACAAATCACTTAAAATCCGTTTAATGTAGGAAAGTAATTTTAATTAAAAACAAAGTTTGGTTAAGTAGTTGAATATAAGAAAAATCCAAAAAAAAAACATGGATTGTTGAAAAATCACCCTATTTTGTAAAACTACTAAAATACCCTTTAGCCATTTATGCTAAATTTAAAATGGGTGCCAAAATTTAGTCACCTACCTAAATTCTCCTTTTATGTTTGGGGATTTTCTTGGGCCCATACATGATTCCTCTTGAGCCTTTGAGATAAGGGGAGGGGGTGCTGGAGGGTGAATTTTTCACCCTGTTTGTTAATAGAAACTTGAGATATTGATTGAGGAGTTGATGTACACCAACTTGGTAGTGGAACCACTATAAACCATTGTGATCTTTCTTCTTCATCTCAATTTTTTGATTTGTTTTTCTGCAGTTTTTATTTTTTACAATTCTTAATTGATTAAACTATAATTATTAATAAACAACCTCAACGTAGTTAAACTAGTTAAGACACACCTCTTGAGTTCGTGTCATACTAAAAAAACTATAATCATTAATATAGAATGATAAATTGTAATCACAAAAATTTCCCATATTTATTTTATAGATTTTATTCATTTTAGTCGTCCTAGTCAAAAGCAGGAGCCAAGAAGTTTCTCATATCCTTTTAGTCAACGAAGCAAACTTGTTATCCTCAAAAGAAAACAAAAAGTCTCCGTTGGATTCTTCGCGAGTATTTTCCCCGTTGGCAAGTCTTATGGAAGATCAAAGGAAATATATATATATACATATATATATGCAAAGAAATTTCTGCCGATAGCAACTATAAAGCATCGAGTAGAGTTGTTCTTCTGTCGGGCCATCCCCGTGATTGGTGAAGCCATGGAGCTGTTCAGCAAAACCAAAGCAGTG